GGTCTGGCTGTTGGTAGTATCATCTGACTTGTGTGTGTTTGCTTCAAATAAAGGAAGCTGCTGACCACTGCCTGACTGGTTTTGTGTTCTAGAGGATAGCATCTTACAAGGGGCTTAACTGTACTTCAGGAGCACCAGGAAAAGAGGCAGATCAAGCATTTGAAAAAAGTGATTTATTGCTTTTTTATTTCAAAGTTTTGTGGATTTACAAAAAAAAAAAAAAGATAGAAGTTTCCAAATTGCTTAGTTCAGACCGAGAGTGCAGAGGTGGGAACTTAGGTCTCTGTGTTGGCCCGAGGCCACAGCATCAGTGTTTGCAGCAGATATGCCCCAACGCTGTTTAAGACAAGCTCCCCCAAATTTGCATTACTGCCTTCAGAGACGAGCTCCTTACACACGCCTCACATGGCAGACACTTGGGTCATATTCAACAAGTCACTGGGATAGTACAGAGGTTGGTTTGGTTTATATATATATATTTTTCCCTATATATATATATATTTTTTGGTACATATATATATATGTATATTTTTTGTCTTCCTGTTATAAAAATGAAAAATTTCAGTTCATTTCTGAAAAATAAATTGGTCAATAAATTCATTTTGTTCTGCTTCTACTTTACACAAAGCTTCATATTCAACCCGATACCTGAAAAACAAAATTGTTAAGAAGCCCTAAAAAATGGATGAAACAAACCTTGGACTTAATTCTTCTAGAGAAGAATATAGGAGAGAGTTAAATGATTCCAAGAAATGGTGTGTCCAGAATGAAGACGTTAGAAGAAAATGAAAGACAAAAAAACCCCAAAAAGGCAAGGCCCTACCCATAACCACTTGTGAGAAATCTCCAGCCCTGAGAAGGGGTCTCCTCGTTTGAGAGAACAGCCAACTTTGCAGACCCTCTGGCCTGAACTTTGAATCTACAGTTCATCCTTCCATGTTCTCAAACAACTAGAAGTTGTTTGTTTAATATTAAATTTCCTATTGCCTTCCCATCAAATGTAATTTTATTATACTTTTAAAATCTTCAGAGCAGGATGGGACACACGTCCTGAGAGAACAAAGATGAAGGATAAAGGATGAAAGGTGATCATTCCAGAAGAAAAAGGAGAATTTGAGTGAAGAACTTGATTTTACATCAGGGCTTACCTTTCTAGCTGCATTTTCTTTTCTGCTATTAATGCTTGAAGTTGCTGCTGTTGCGCTTCTCTCTGCTTTGCTATCGATTTGAGCAAGTTCCGAGCACCAATGGCCTAGAAAACACAGTATTGCCAAAGAAGGTCATGGCGTCCCTACAGCTGGTTACAGCATTAAGACCTCCATGTGAAAAGGCGGAATGGGGATTGACGAGCCCTGGTATAGTGCTGTAGGATAAGCACTTGACTGCTAACCACGAGGTTGGCAATTCAAACCCACCAACCAGCCACTCTAGGAAACCCTATGAATTGGAACCCACTCAACAGCACACAACAAACATCACTGCCCAGAGGGGAAAATAAAGTCAAGCCCTCAGAGGTTTGAGGTAAATGAGGAGATGAACCTAATGGCCCCTGATGTGTAAAGTGCAATTCTAGAACTGAGCTACAGCTCTGTGAGGCAGGGTCTAGAAGTATCCCAGAGCCTGATGCACAGGGATCGTTGGCCTATTTGCTGTTCCATTTAGCCTTGTGCCCTTTGCCAAGTCATCCACGTCCTGTAACCTTTCATAGTACTGATGCAAGATTGATTATATGAAATAATGAAAAGTATGCTGTCATAAGAATCCAATAGTTTATTGGGCCTGGATATATTTTTTTAAATCTTGCTTTAATGAAATAAAAGAAACACTCTCTCAACAAAACAAATCAAGGTGGTCAAGGATGAGAGGCTGGGAACTAGGGTCCCAGGCCAGAATGTAAACAGAAGACATGTTCGTCTTACCTTCATCTTCTCATTTTCTGCTTCTTTTGCAAGTTGGTCAACAAGCCCAATTAAACCACCAACTATTTTCTGGAACTGGCCAATTTCTTTAGGAAAAGAACAAAGAATAAAATGTCTTATTTTCTTAGCATCTTCACATCCTCTCCAGTGCTCCCTTTGAGCAGGCGAAAGGGCGGGGTTTAACTGTCTTCTCATTTGTGTCAAAACAGCTCACTGTGTGCAGGCCTAATTTCCCACCCTCAGGTCTGAAGCTAGAAGGGGGTCAGCTACCTAGCGCTGGCCAGGGCATACCTGGACCGTGAGTCCCCATGGAGTCACTCAGCTGCTGTCAACTCAGATTGTGACAGCACCAGGTTCTGGGAAGACCTAGCCTCCAAATGCATCCAATCCTGCTTCAGCAAGAGTGACAGGAAACACAAAAGGCCATGCTAGTGAAGAGACTGGCTCAGAACCTAAGCACTACCTCTTGACTGTAGCCACTGGACACCAACCAGTTCATTGTGGGATGGGCCTTTTCACCTATAAGCGGAGCTCCAAGCATGTTAAGTATTTAATCTCTCTTTCTCAATATCCTTGGTATAATTGTTGTTATGTGCCGTGGAGTCGGTTCTGACTCATAGCGACCCTGTACAGGGTTTCCGAGGCTGTAAATCTTTATGGGACCAGAAAGCCTCATATTTCTCCTGCAGAACAAGCTGGTAGTTTTGAACTGCTGACCTTTTGGTTCGCGGCCTGATTTGTAACCACTACGCTACCAGAGCTAGTTTACTGAGGGGTAAATGAAGGCCCAGAGAGGTGGGGTAAACACAGCAATCACAGATGACTGGCAGTAGAACCCAAGACTCCTTTCACTAGGCAAGCTCTCCCACAGGCTAGGGAATCCCCTGGAGGCTCAGAAACCCTTGTTCTGGCTAGCTTAGCTCTCCACTGGCACTGGGCTTGCTTGGTTGCTGAGACAAGAAGCTTCCTGGAGATCTCTGGCCAAAAGATGACTTCCCTGAGAGTTGAGCTGTTTTCTAGAGATTTCAGTTACTACCTTTCACTCCAAATAATAGAAGCCAAACACTGAGAACACTAGTTCTCTCAAGAAATTGCATTCCTCACCTGAACCCCATGGTTTAGCTCCCATTCAGTTTATAGTTTTTGAGATAAAAAAAGTCAAAGACTCATGTCCAAAAGACACCCCCCCACTCATGGCTCCCACTGTCCGTTATGATTGGTGCTCTGTGCTGGACTATGTGAGAGCAGGAGAGGAGGGCAGGTCGTTGGGTGATCTACGTGGGACTCAACGGCCAGGCTCAACCTGCCGGGAGCCAGGTCAAGAGCTGCAGTCCAGGTGGGGGTGGGATGTCGTTAGAACAGCCCCAGACAGAGTGGCCATGTCCCCCCCAAGGAGACTCACTGTCCACAAAGTCCTTGCATTCTTCCTTGAGCTCTGTGGTCTGCTGAGTAACCTCTGGGTCCAGCACTCGCAGTTTGTTCAGTTCATCAAAGTGCAGCCCCGCTTCACGTAGGACGTCCTTGGCCATAGCTGCAAAAGAAACCAGCCCAGTCCCTGTTTACTTCCCAGCCGCCCGAAAAAACACCAGCTTTCATCCCAGTCCTGTCAAAATCCCAGATGTTCCCAAGGCCAGAGTTCCTTCTGCTTCTCTCTCTCTGCACCTCACCTGTTTCCCTTCTGGCTCCCCTAGAGAAGTTCTGCTCTGAAGAAGAGACAGTGACACCCAGGAGGGGTGTGTCACAAGACCAAGGGTCAGGAAAGAATAAAGTCCAGTAATGAGTCATATGCATCTTTCATGCAACACGCATTCTTGAGTGCCTCCCATACACCAGCTAGATGTTGCAAGTAGAGATGAATGGCACTCCCTGAAGGGTACAGAGGACAGCTGGCGGAGGACAGACATGGGAACTGGAAGATGATGCTGTGGACGTGCTTGTACAGGGACAGCACAACAAAACAGGATGTAGGCCACGAACTAAGTTGTAAGCTAGGAGCATCATGTTTATTTATTCCAGTTATGGACCCAAAAAGATTGGAATAGAAAAAACAAAAACAAAAAGCAAGTAAGGGAAACCTGGGTAAAATAAAAGCTAAGGATAAAATGTAAGAAACCAAGAGTAAACAGACTTGGGTACATACACTCAACAGGATACTTGTTAAGTGCTGTCCAGTCGGTTCCGACTCACTGCAAC